AGCTGACCAGGGCTAGCAGGGGTCAGGTCAGGGCCAGCTCTGAGGACAGACTGCTTTAAAGTCAGTGTAAAACCTGCCTGTGCCCATCTCTTATCAAAGCACCACAGTAAGAAATTTCCAAATGGGCCTGTCTTAGCTCCACACGTGCTACAGACCCAGAAGTCTGTGCTGGTTTCTCCATTAACTGGGAGGCTCCAACGCAGCCGTTCTGGGGTCAGTTGTGGCAGGTTTGGGTGGTCTCTGGTCACACCGAACCCCTGGCACGGCCCGTTCTGGGCCCGCCCGCCTCCCCCAGCTCTGAGGGGCTGGAGCGGCCGCACAGCGCCCCCTGCTGGCCGGGCTGGGCCTAGGCTAGGCCCAGTCTCAGGCCCAGCCCCAGGCCCAGTCTCAGCCCCAGCCCCAGGCCGAGTCTCAGGCCCAGTCTCAGGCCCAGCCCCAGGCCCAGCCCCAGGCCCAGTCTCAGGCCCAGCCCCAGCCCCAGGCCTCCCCCCTCCCCGCACGTGGCCCAGCACAGTGCCCTGACACACCTCTGTCACCTGCCGAGGCAGATGTGCAGTCAGCCGATGTGGGGTATGGCAGACACAGGAAGTAAGGCATCCTGGTGCTCTTGACTACCTCTGGGACTGAGAAATTTGGTATTGGAAATACCTTGTTTCTTTTCCCTCAGCAATCCGTTTCATGTTCCTGCTCTGCAAACCTGGCAGTTTCCCAAGCAGCACACAGGGAAGGCTGCAGGATCCCTCATCAGGTCTGACCAAAGGAGGTGTTCCTGACACACCAGAGGCAACATCCAAATCCTCACAGACCTGACAAGTTTCCCCTTCCTTCCCAGATTGTGTCACTTCCCTGTAAGACTCTGTATGGGAGACTTCACAAGGCCAGTGACTTACCTGAGAACATGCTCATCTACACCTTGAACCAGGTTAGCCAAAACCCCCTCAGACAAGTGTTCTACACCAGCTGCTCCCACACAGATGCTCCAGGAGCAGCTGAGAGCCTTGGCCAGAAGCCATGCAGAGTGCACCTCTCCCCTCAGCACAGACCAGGGACCTGCAGCACTCGCTGTTCTGTACAGACCCCATGACACCTCCTGCAGCACAGCAGCAGTCACAGTCCCAGTCAAACTCTATTGCCATGAGATCACGCCTTCTCTCTTGGCTTGAGGCAGCTTCATCAGCCTTACACAGCATCACCGTTGCGCTCTGTGCTCTCCCAACTCCCCTAACAAGTGGGAGATCAAGGTATAAGCTGTTAACTATGTAAAGAAAACTTCAGTCACCAGCTGAGTTCACCCAGTACTCAGATTTTATTAAACAGGCTCTATACAGTACAAAACCACACTGTGCTGCAGCATCCCAGATACCCCTTCCCCACTTCACAAGCTGCCAGAGATGAACCACTAAAGCTTTCTGGATGGCAGGGGAGAGCCAAGCCCTGACTCCTCTCCTTACACACAAGGCCCTCCTGTACCTGTCATTGCTCCAAGGAGAGCCTTCCTTGCTTGTAATGACGGGGGCAGGATAACATGAACTGTCAGGCAGGGAATGCAGCCCCTGCAGACAAAAGCATCCAAACTGCATTAAACATGCAGCAAGTTCCAGAATCCATTCCAGTTACATGCCTCATACCCAGGGGATAAAAAATGTGACACCCTCCATCTAAGCTGGCAGGACACCAATTCATCACTCCTGCCAGCTCTGAGGAAAGGCCAGAGCTGTCACAGGGTGATGTGAATGCTGTGGCTTGGACAAGGATCTGAGGCAGCAGCACAGGAGCAGCAGAAGCATCCATCTTCATTAGCAAAACACTGAAACCCCAGCACAGCCCAGGACAACTTCTGACAAATCTCAACCTGTCAAGAAAACAGCCAACATTTTATTTTGTCTGAACACTCTGCCACAAACAGCAAATATACAGCTTTCAAATTCACCCCCAGCACCCTCAAAATCCCCTATTAGATAAGGGTTGCTCTGCAAAGAGCAGAAACTTGCTCCCAGGATGCACTCAAACTGCACTGTGGGAGCTTCTAGAGCAGGTCTTGCCAACAGCCTGGGAGAGCTGACAGAGCAGAGTGCCAGAGAAACATATTCAGTCAGCTCAACCAGCTCCACTGTCTGACACAGAGCACTTGCTTCCTTTTGCATCCAGGGGTACAGGTACAGAGGACACAGTGCTGCTCTTCAGACACTTCAGCCCCCCTGGAGACAGAGCAGCTGCATGGGGCTGGAACTTAGTGAGCCAGTGCCAACAGGTGTTTTATCCAATGAAGTTCTGTTAAGTACATTTTCTAAAGCTTTAGTGAAATCCTAACCAAACAGATTTTCAGGAGTCACATAGTTGATTGTGAAGAAAAAGGACACCAAAGCAATCCCTCTCTTGCAAAAAGACACATTTCTGAAAGCTGACTTTGACCCCCTTCTCAAGGCATTGAAAACCTCCCATTCAAAGGAGCAAAAAACTAATGAAGTTTCAAGAACAAAAGCCCCCTGACTTTTCAAGAAGCCCTTCATTTTAACACTGCTTAAATGGGGCAAGACATAATAATAAATTTATTCCCTGAAACTGAAACCTGTCAGAGCTCTCTGCCATTTATTTGGGATCTTCAGAAAGCAAGAATTCTTTCACTTTTGATCCTAAAGTTGTTCACACACATCAGTGTTACATGTCAGTGTTACTATGGTAGGTGCAGCCTCTAGTGTTGCCTTGGAGTGTGCAGCACACCCTGCAGAGGAGCCTCCTTATATGCCATGAAGGCATCATGCACCTTTGGAACCCATGTGGCTAAAAAAGTTTGCATCAGTATTGCCCACCTGGTAGGGGAAAACAAGGCTGAAGTCACTGTGACAGATGCTCTTCAGCTGAACATTAAAGCTGCCGAAGCACAGCAGAAGCAACTCCCTTGCAGAAAGGTGTTTTTTCCTTCTTTTTTAAGCCAGTTAACATAAGTGGATCCAATACTTACCATTCTTTACTGTCAGAGGGCACACATGGTAGAGCAAAACAGACAACTGCTCTCACCACACCATCACTGTCAGCTGCAGCCTTCACACTTCAGGTCTCCCAGAGGCTCAACCTCCTGTCTCTGCCTTCACAGTGCCCTGTGGGTAAAGCCAAAGGGAACAGTCAGCACCAGGCTCTGCCAGGGCATGGGACACAGCAGCAGTTCCCTGCTGGTGCATCAGACATGATCTGGCTTGAAGAGCAAGAAATCAACACTGTCGCTCTGATGGGGAAAAAATTTAGTCATCACTTACACCAGCAGGTCCCCAGGAGCTGTGGCTGCTCACCCAGTGCAGCTGTGCTACACTCCCACCTCCCTCACCAGATCCACTGGGACAGAGGTCATGGCAGAGGAAGTGGCAAAGCCATGCCCACATCTGCAATCCCTTTATACTCCCTCACACCCTGGCCAGCAAGGGGCAGGGCAGACAAGGCTCAACCAGCAGCACCTCTTAAAGGGACACACTTCAGCCAGAACGGTTCCTGTCCCTTGCTGGGGCAGCCCATCACCCACCTGTCTGTGCAGGGTGTCCTGAGTGAGCCTCTGAACACAGTGCAGCAGGGAAACCAACAGGGCAGAGCTGTAAGCCCCTGTACTGCTCCAGCTTAGCACATAGCAAGTGCAGCTTGCAGACTTCCTGCCCTGCTGGTTTTTTCACAAGCCATATCTGCCACTTTGGACATGCTGGAACAGGAGGCTCAAAGGACCTCATTCCAATGCTCATGCACGAGGGAAATCTCTGCACTTTCATCTCTACAATACTCACATCTGTCTAGTCCCCAGGGACAAAGTGGGAGCAACTCCCTTGCAGAAAAAGGTATTTCCTCCCCTCCTTTTTTTTATTTATTTCAATTTAATTTTAACATGTGATTCACAATTACTTTTAAGACTTACCATTATTTGCTAGAGTGCAAGCATAGTGGAGCAAAACAGACAGCTGCTCTCACCACACCATCACTGTCAGCTGCAGCCTTCACACTTCAGGTCTCACAGAGGCTCAACCTCCTGTCTCTGCCTTCACAGTGCCCTGTGGGTAAAGCCAAAGGGAATAGTCAGCACCAGGCTCTGCCAGCGCATGGGACACAGCAGCACTTCCCTGCTGGTGCATCAGACATGATCTGGCTTGAAGAGCAAGAAATCAACACTGTCGCTCTGATGGGGAAAAAATTTAGTCATCACTTACACCAGCAGGTCCCCAGAAGCTGTGGCTGCTCACCCAGTGCAGCTGTGCCACACTCCCACCTCCCCCAGCAGATCCACGGGTAGCGAGGGAGTTCATGCTGATCTTTCCCCAGGAACAGCTGGCTGGTCAGCATGCTCAACAGGCACAAAAATTATGAACAAACACCTATGTATGGGGGTTCCAGAGCAGAGCCCAAGACAGTCAAGGCATGTAAAAGAGGCAATAAGCAGAGATTATTAGCTTATTACTTTTTGCAGGCCCAGGCCTTCTGCCTTGTGTGAGGCTCCCCTGCAGCAGGAGCCGTGCAGGCCGCAGGGAGGCACAGCTCGGCCATGAGCACCGGGACCCGCAGTGCCCAGCACTGCCCGTGGTGGGGCAGGACCCCCGGACCACCCCGGGGCCAGCACCCACCGCCCTGCCCGGGCTGCAGCCCCTGTCCCGCGGGGAGAGGGACCCGCCGGGCCAGCGGCCGTACCCACACGTGACAGCTCTCCAGGGACACCAACGCGTTGCAGGAGCAATTTATTTATACGTGCACATACGCAGAAATAAATATATTTGAACATATTAAAAATTATATACTTAAACGTATATATTTAAACCACTAATGCACAGTCACTTTACGCACTCACCGCTCCCCCCCCGCAGGGGCTCAGACCCTGCGGCACACCCCGGGTACGTGCCCCCATCGCCGGCCTGGCCCCGGTCATGGGGCTCCCAGAGGCGTCCTGGGCTCCGGCTCGCCCTGCAGGGAAACAAGGAACAGTCAGCACCGAGGAACAGTCATTACCCGCCCCCGGGCCCGGCGGCGGCTCCGCTGGTGTATCAGACACGATCTGGCTTGGAAAGCAGTGCTCAACACTGTCGCTCTGACGGGGAAAGAGTCATCACTCCACCAGCGAGCGCCCGGGCGGGTGCAGAGAGCCCTGTGTGGCCCGCCCGCGACAGCCGGCCCCTCACCGGGAACGCGGGCGGAGCCCCGCAAGGAGCCTTTGGGCCGGGCCGGCGGCCGAGCGGAGGCCTCAGCGGGCGGGCAGCGAGGTGCCGCCGGCAGACACCCGCACCGGCACGGCCGACCCCCGGGAACGGGCACATGGGGACCCAGGGCCCACCCGCCCCGGCCCACCCGCAGCCCCAAGTGACCGCACACCCACCTCGGCCGCGCCGCACAAAGAGGCCGAAGGGCCCCGCGCGAGGCCCTTTATGGGCTGCGCAGGCCCCGCCCGCGCCGAGGGGGCGGTGCCGCCGCCATGTCGGGCGGTACCGGGGGGGCCGCGGGGCCGCTCCCGCCTCATCCGCGTTCCCCGCCCGCCCCGCTCCGCTTCCCGCCGAGGGGCCGCGCGGGGCCGGACCGTCTGTGGCCCTCCTGTGGCTGCCGCGGTCCCCGAGCCGGTGCAGGGGGCGAGAGGCGCGGCCGGCGGCGGTGGGGCCGCCATTTCGCGGTGCCGGGCAGGGCGGGCGCGGTGCCTCATGGCGGGGGAGCGCGGCCGGGGCCGAGGTGCGGCCGGTGTGCTTCGCCGGGATGGGCGAGCGTGGCTGATTTTCCCTGCTTAATGGAAAAAAAATCCCCACCGTTTCAGAGGTGTGCAGTGACTCACCGAAAGGCACGTGCAGGTGCGGTGCCAACATCCCTCACGCCTCTGATCGCCCTCAGCCCGGAGCAGGAGCCCCACAGGCCGTGCGGGGGCCGCCCGCTGACCCCCTGTTTTCCCCGGGACGGGGCTCGGCGCGGGTCTGTGTCCGTGTCTGGGGTACGTGTCACAGTCGGGTACTTTGCTTTTAGCTGCTAGACACTGGCAAATCACGTTGCGTTAGTTTGCCACTGAGTAACGTCAGTAATGGAATAGAGAACAAAGGATGTCTTGAACGAAAACAGCCCTGCCTGTAATTCAAGCACTGCCGTGACTGATGCTTTTATAGCTATAAATGCACCTTGGAAACGGGCTGTGAACCCAGCCATCCAGATCTAGTGGAGACGTGCCACATGACATCCTCGAGCACACGTGGAAGGTATTCCCAGAGTCCTGCACTCCGGCGGTGTGAGCACCTCTCCGTGTTCAGAAGGCCAGCCCAGCACGGCCCGCCCTCTCCATCGCAGCGTTGTTCTGCAGCCGCGGCCCTCCCTCCCGGGGAAGGCGGGAACTTCTGTCCCTGGAATAACACCAGCTAAAAGATGGGGGTTGAAATGGAATCACGCAGGGGCACAGGCAGGGAGAGGCACAAAGCCGGAAGCCAGTTTCCATCAGCAGGGGAGTTTCTGGGGAATAAACACAGGAGCTGAACAGCTCTGAGTGCTGCAGGAAGCTGCTTTGGTCCAGACTAGCTCAGAATCATTGCTCCATGCTTTGGGTTTTTCTGTTTGTAAAACACACATAGATTCTGCCAAGGCTCAAGAAGGTGTGAGAAGGGTGACTTGTCCTGTGGTGCTTCACAAACCAGCACCTTGGCACCAGGTCCTACCATCTCATCAAGGATTCAGTGACCTGACTGAGCTGGCTGGGAGGTGAGAGCATCTCGAGGGACCTGCGGAAGGGGCAAGTCAGGGATGGTGCTTGAAACATGATGAAAGCAGGAAAAGGCACCTGATCAGTTTGTTGGCTGGTTTGCAAAATACAGCCAAGGCTCTGCAAATCTGCCTGGGACAGCCACGGGAGGTGTTTTAGATGCTCTGAAAGATAAGCCTGCCTTGTTTCACTTGTCCAGTAGTATTTACAGGCACATCCTGCAGGGACATAAATGGGCCTTACAGGATGTTTGGCAGAAACTGCTTAATTCAGGTACCGTTAAAATGCTTTTTCCAGATTAAGTGTGTTTGTAGACAACTAATTCTTGAAAGCAGCCTATCAAACAGGACTTGTGGAATAAATCTCAATGCCATTAATCCAAGTTCCAGAACACCAAAAGATGAAAAGACAATCACAGGAAGGACATTTTAAAGAAGATTACAGGGAAAACTAATCTTGTTACACTGCAAACCCATGTCACATGCACAGCGCAAAAAGGAACTGTAAACATGATTTGTGTTGCTTAGCTTGGCAAGGAAGGGAAAGTAAGAAGGTCTGGGGTACTCAACAGCTGCAGCAGAGCTTAGTATTGTATTTATTTGATTTCACTGGGTTTTATTCTCCATGGCAAAACCAAGTGGAAAATGTCTTTAGCAAGATGAGTTCTTCAGCTCAGTCAGGGCTCGTTAGACTCAGGAAGTTCCTCAAGAGGCAGCAAAAGTCTCTCCAGTCCCAGTTCTCCCCACTGTTCCCTTGCAGTGGGAACTCTGGTGTGGGCACCTCGGGGCAGAGCAGCAGCCCGTGCCCTGCAGCTCCTCCCCGGAGCATCAGCCCGGCCTGGGCACAGGGTGGGCACTGCTGGCACCTCCCGCCCGTGTCCCTCTGCCTGCTCTGGGCGAGTCCCATAGCAGCAGAGCCCCTACCCAGCCTCATGGGCGTGCCCAGGGTGAGGGTAAAAGGCTAAAAGTCCCATGGGTGTTTTTGAAAGTACCACAGCTTGAGACAAACGTGTTTGTATTCCCTGCCAGCCCTCACAGGGGCTGTGGCAGCATCTCCTGAACCCCAACACGAGTGTGAGCACACGGGCTGTACCAAGGGGGTGTTGACAGTGACCAGCAGGATTGCCTGCTTTGGGAGCAGTGATCTCCCTTCTGGACTGACAAAGGCATTTAAACATAAGAGATTGTCTTTTGTTTGGAAATAATAAACACAAGTGGAAGAACAGGGTGAAAGCATTAAAAGCTCTGTGGAGAACAGGTTCCTGCATCATTAACATGGGACTTTTAAAATCTAAACTATCCTCTATTAGCAGGCTGCTAAAAATACTGTGAAAGTGGAAGTGGGAGAATGAGTAAAGTTTAAAAGCACTATAATGTGTCATTTTTAATCAAAGACAATTTTGTTTCCTTAGGATCCTGCTAGTGCTATACAAAATAATTTGTTTCATCAAATAATAAAATGCACTCTTTTGTAAGTATTATAAGCAGCAAACAACTATGGGGTTGCTTCACAAAAGACTAGTGAAGTGGTATCCACACATCCCATCCCTGCCTGCAGTTAGGCACTTGTGGAACCTCCACCATTTGTCTTTATAGAGTAGGAGGGAAATAAAACTATTTCTGACTTTGATCAGTGGGTTGAAACAGAATTTTGGTTTGATCCTTAGGTAACAAAACAGCTGCCAAGTACAGCTCCATTTAATTCTGTTGCATATGTTACTAAACTTTGACTGGGGAATTAAGAATAACAACCCTGCTGACTCCAGACTGAGCCCTTTCAGGTGCGATTTGTCCAAAAGAAGGGTCAGTTGTCTATATCCTAAACCAAAACAACAGCAACAAGTTCTGGGAATGTATTTTAATATTCTGTAACAAGTGTTTCTGTGGATCCAGGGACAATAACAGGCTATAGTCCCATCCAAGGAGAAAACTCCTCAGCAGCAGCAGGTGCAGGTGGGGAGAGCATTCCCACCGCTGTCAGCGTGCTCCCTTTCCAATAGGAATTGTTTGGTAAGGACTTTCTCAGTTGGAAGAATTTGCAATACAAAGCCTCAGCCTAGCAAGTTTCTTTTAATTTTTAAATGTACAGCATTTTAGTTCTACAAATGTAAAAAAAAAAAAAAAAAAAAAAAACAAAAAAAAAAAAAAAAAAAAAACTTTACAATGTTTGGGTTTTTTTTTTTTTTGCTCATCATGATCAAACCCAACGTGATTCAATGCAATCTGGTCTGCAGTTCCTGTGGCCCGATTGCCTTGGATGATGCAAATACAACGGCCAAGACACGTAGCTCTGAGACAGCGCCTGCAGGAGCTGCTCTCTGTGGCAGAGTCCCTGCGGGTGCTGAGTCCCTGCGGGTGCTGAGTCCCTGCGGGTGCTGAGTCCCTGCGGGTGCTGAGTCCCTGCGGGTGCTGAGTCCCTGCGGGTGCTGCACAGCGCAGGAACGGCTACAGGTCGCAGGTAAGGACACACCGAAGGAGACACGGACACGTGTCAGGTCTGGTTTGCAGCACTGCCCCCCAGTCACAAGGCAAGGCAAGGCTGGGACTCCAAGCAAACAAGGAAACTTCAAAGCAGAGACTTGAAGCAGTCCCGCCCACCGGCCGTGCCAGGGTCCTCGTCTAAGCTGACTTTTAAATTTCACTTAAAACTCCAGTTTAAGCTCCCATTAACAAAGCTGCACTAACACACTGTGGCACAAATAACAAACCGTAGCCACGTCACTTCGCATTCCCTTCCCTGCCAGGTCTGCACACCCTGCACGGCACGAGCAGGGACCCCGATGCACTCGGGACCCACCATAAGTTACTCCACAGCTTCACACACTGCCTGGACTAGAGCACAAGCATTACAAATCTATCAAAAAAGCAGCCCCCGCGGTGGCATTACAAGAATAAATTAACCCAAAAAAAAAAAAAAATTTAGTATTACCATTTATTTGTGACAAACACTACGTTTTTACTTACATTCCATGGGGAGAAAAAATTCCAGCGTAAACAATGAACGGAAGCAGTACTGAACTCGCGCGGCTATCGTGCTGTACCTGGACCAAGGCAAACCTCATCGCGCACCCTCCGTGCGCAGGAACACAACATCAAAAGCAACACAGTTATATATAAACATAGGTAATTTTTTTCAGCCCTACATGGAGATGTAATTAAACAGTATAAAGCACTCAAGGAAAATCAATCTGCGGTTTTATATGCACTACATTGAGATCATATCCTGTACTGTAGGAGCTGTGAGCCACCAACGCACAGTCCCCCAAAACACAGCTCAGAGATCACTGAAAGTCACGTTGCATTCGAGTTCCCCTACCCCACACTCAAGAAAACTAGAAATTAAACCAAAAATGATCAAACCAAGTTTAAAATTCCTAAAGTGTTTTAATTAATTCAA